AGGATTGAATAGACATGTAATAAATGATGTCTAAAATGTCGCATAATGATACTTTTTTTCTTCTATGCATTAGACAAGTGAAAAAAAAACAATAAATAGAAAAAAATAGAGTTGTCTTCTTTTGGCTCCACCACGCTAATTCTTAACTTTATATACGTATCCAAACAACAAAGTGATGGTTCTCTCACTCTCATCTTGTAACGACCCAATTTTATTTATTATTTTTTTTAAAAAGGTTTTGAATCTCTACCAAAAAATATATATATTTTTTTATACATGGATTTATGTTAGTATTATCCTTTAATTAAAGTATAATTATCATGCAATATCTAGAATGTACATAATTCAACTTTAGCACTAAATTTCTCTACAAAAACCATGCAGTACATGAAAACTACCATGCACAAATTAATTGATAAAAGGAACAATTATCAATTTCTATCAAATTTTCATACGTAACGAATTGATGAGAAATTCTTCTAAAATCAACTTACATTTCCAGTGACTCATTTCCCTTGTCAATTTTCTAAAGAAATCTTAATCAATGCATCTTATTCTACATAATTAAAATAAAATTTTTGTGCCACTAATGTAAAATAACACTTAAAGAAAAATCAAACAATTTAAATATGCGCAAATATTATTAAACAAATTCTGTACCTTTGTTAAGATAAGGAAATAAACATAATAGTTCATTTTCTTTTCCTTCAGTGAGTAGAACATGGCATTAAACTTCCCTAATTTAATACCATTATAATGAATTTCATTAATTAAGTATGCATGGAACTATCAAACAATCACCCGTCTTTAAAATCTCCAAAATTGACGTATAGGACACCCAAGGGAGACAATTGAAGGTGTGGAGTGGCAGGGACATCATTGTCTTGACCCTAGGTTTCCATCAATTTGGGGAAAATCATAGAAAAGTACAAACATAGCATGCAATATTTTATTTATATATGAACTTATACCTATGCAGTATTCAATGTAATTTATTTCCATTTTCTCTTCCATCGTATAGAGACACAAGGCATAACATATCACTAGAAATTAAATGATTCACATGCAATATTTTTCGCTTCCTTCAGCGTGTAGTGCATGCCCTCGAAAGTCAGAATATAAGTAATTTAACATCATCTTTGACATAAACTAAATAGTAATACATGTCCAGTTACTTTCTAACGACTAAATTGGTAAAAAAAAACCTTTAATTCAAAATTTATTTAAAATGCAGATTACATATATTCATCTGCAATTAAGCATGTACGAAAATTTATTTGTAACTAAATGTCTATTGTAATACTTGAAATAAATAAAAATTACGTGATACTTAAATCTTTATCCAGCGAAAACAAGGCACCACTACGCCATCGAACCACCACGCTCCGTCACGACCCGATCTAACCTGTGAGGTGTAGGGAAAATGGTGAGTACATGGGAATACTCAGTAGGATATAACATTTTAATGGTGCGATCCCAAATAATAATTTTAAAACATGTGTTAGAATGTCATACCGTCACATAACTTTAAAATTCGGTAAGAGCTCACATCATAACATTTCATTTCATTTCATTGTACCGGAATGGCCATATCATTCATATCATAGTATTGATATCATAACTTTAACTTTCATGAGTATAAAATTCGTCAACATGTGAAAAAAATAATTAAACGGGACAAAAAAAAATACTGTACCTTATATCCTACCTTGTTAAACTGCTTTAATTTTTGAAAGATAAAACAAGAATCGCGTTCCCTTCTTTCCTTCTTTTTTATTTCTGCCTCTACTATCACTGTGAGCAATGCACGTATATTTTTGTGTGTCTATTTCGTGTGGTGCATCCCATATACATAGACAGTTGCACCCTAAAATTCTGAAGTCTGTGTATTATGAAAGAAACGTGTAAAAGTGGGACACGGTTATGGATAATATAGGGAAACAGATATTTTGAATTAAAGATATTTGACTAAATCTTGTCACCCAAAAGCCATGCATTACCATACACGTGGAGCATCCCTAAATTCAAAGTTCTAGTAAGATAACAACAATAGATAAAGTTCTCAACCACCACTCACATCCTCCCATATCCTTCTCTTTCTCTCTCCATTTTTTTATTATAAAATTATTATTTAATCAATTACAACCTATCAAAAGCCACTCTCTTTTCACGTGTCTCCCTCATTAAGTCTTTAATTCATTAAACAACACATTTAAAATATAATTTATAGCTACATCTTTCGACCTCAATAACTTAGTTTTCGCTAATCCAAATTAACTTTTTCTCGAACCTAAAATGCACGATTAAATACGAGCTTTCCAACGGGCCCAATATTTATATACTTATTGTCACTCCGTCAATATCTACATTTTAGCCTAAATTATATTAAAATTTACTTTATATACACTTTAGTCCCTAAACTTTCAAAATATTAAATTATAACATACATAATTTAAATTCTATTGTACGAAATGTCAGAATATTACAATCTCCCCTCCTTAAAATATTTTTGTCCTCGAAAATTTACCTTAGTTAATCAATGAGCTCTGGATACTTGGCTTTAAGCTCCTCTTCTTTCTCCCAAGTTGACTCATCAATCCATGATTTCGCCACTGGACCTTGACCAAGGAAACCTCTTTGTTTCTGAGTTGATGTAGCTTTCTTTCCAAGATCATCATCGAGGTTTCTTCATATGATAAGTCCCTTTGTACGTCCATTGTTTGATAACTTATTACATGATTGGGATCATGAACATATTTTCTAGGCATCGATATATGAAATACGTTATGCACTGTTGCAAGTTCAGGTGGTAAGGCAAGTCGGTAAGCCACAACACCAATTCTTTCAAGGATCTCGAAAGGTCCAATAAATCGTGGTCTCAATTTTCCCTTCTTGCCAAATCTCAATACACCCTTCATGGGTGCTACTTTAAGGAAAACTTTGTCACCCACACTAAATTCCAAATCCTTTCTCCTACTATCCGCATAACTTTTTTGTCGATCTTGTACTGTCTTTATTCTGGCTCTAATCTTGTCAACTGCCTCAACTGTTCGTTCAATGATTTCAAGACCCAAAATTCTATTCTCTCCGACCTCATCCCAATGGATAGGGGATCTGCACTTCCTACCGTAAAGAGCTTCATATGGGGCCATACCTATTGTGGCCTGGAAGCTATTGTTGTAAGCAAACTCCACTAAAGGCAGGTGTGTCTCCCAACTACCTCCAAGATCTAAAACACATGCCCTCAACATATCCTCAAGGGTTTGAATGGTTCTTTCTGACTGCCCATCTATTTGTGGATGATAAGCAGTACTAAACTTCAGTTTCGTCCCCATGGCTGTCTGTAAACTTTTCCAAAATTTGGACGTGAACCTCGGATCTCTATCTGAAACAATAGTGACTGGAACTCCATGCAGTCTGACTATCTCTTTGATGTATAGCTGTGCAAACTGTTCCATGTTGAAGTTTACCTTGATTGGTAGAAAATGGGCTGACTTCATCAAACGATCAACCATTACCCAGATAGCATTGTGAGCTTTTGCTGTCCTTGGAAGGCCTACCACAAAGTCCATCGTTATGTGTTCCCACTTTCATTCTGGAATGTCCAACGGTTTCAGTAGTCCTGATGGTCTTTGGTGTTCTGCCTTGACTTGCTGACAGATAATACATTTTTCAATGAACTGACCAATTTCTCTCTTCATATTTCTCCACCAAAATGTATCTCGGAGATCTCGATACATTTTCGTGCCACCTGGATGTGCTGAATACGGGGTAGAGTGAGCCTCTTCCAGTATTTCATTTCTTATACTTTCATCTTTAGGTACACATAACCTTCCTTTGAAAATCAGCGCGTTATCTGCAGACATTTCAAATCCTATACGTTTGTTTGTGCCAACCTTAGCCTTTATCTTCTTTAGAAATGGATCCTTATTCTGTGCCTCCTTAATTCGATCCCGAAGAGTAGGCCGAATCATAATCGTTCTTATTCTTGCTGTAGTCTGAGTCGGTGGTGTGATAACTTTCAATCTCAATTTCTCAAAGTCTCTTATCAAGTGTTTCTGTACTGTAGGTAGAACTGTTAATTGTGATCCTGTCTTTCTGCTTAAGGCATCTGCAACTACGTTAGCCTTACCCGGATGGTAATGAATCATGCAGTCGTAATCTTTCACTAGTTCCAACCATCTTCTCTGTCTCATATTCAGTTCCTTCTGTGTGTAGAAGTATTTAAGACTCTCGTGGTCTGTATAAATTTCACACTTCCCACCATAGAGATAATGACGCCATATCTTTAAGGCGTGAACTACCGCTGCAAGCTCCAAGTTGTGCGTTGGATAGTTTTGTTCATAATGCTTCAACTGTCTCGATGCATAAGCAACCACTTTTCCATGCTGCATCAGTACACAACACTTTAGCAAGATCTACTTCGATTCCTTGGGCGGTAACCACGTGACCAAGGAAACCTACGCGATCAAGCCAAAATTCACACTTCTTGAATTTAGCATATAATTTCTCCTTCCTCAAAGTCTCAAGCACTACTCGGAGTTGTTCCTCATGCTGCTTCCTATCTTTGGAGTATACGAGTACGTCATCAATAAATACTATAACAAACTGATCTAAGTACTGATGGAACACTCTGTTCATGAGATCCATAAATATAGCTGGAGCATTGGTCAAACCAAAAGGCATGACAGTGAATTCATAATGCGCATACCGAGTCATGAAAGCAATTTTCGGTATATCGCTTGCCCTGATTCTCAGTTGATGATATACTGACCTCAAGTCGATCTTTGAAGACACTGAAGCACCCCTTAACTGGTCAAACAAATCTTCTATTCTTGGCAACGGATACTTATTTTTGATTGTCAGATGGTTCAATTCTCGGTAGTCAATGCACATCCTCATACTCCCATCCTTCTTCTTGACAAAAAGTACAGGAGCTCCCCAAGGAGATACACTCGGTCGAATGAAACCTTTCTCTGGCAATTCTTATAATTGCAACTTCAATTCTTGAAGTCCTTCGGTGCCATTCTGTACGGGGCCTTGGATACTGGTGCTGCTCCAGAGGTCAAATCAATTGTAAATTCCATTTGCCTACCTGGTGGAATGCCTGGCAAATCTTCTGGGAACACATCAGCAAAGTCTCACACGATATTGATATCGTTAATAGTCGTCTCTGTATGTTGAGAACCAATAATGTTAACTAAGAATCCCTGGCATGACTTTTTCCTCAACATCTTCTTCGCTTGTATAGCTGATATAAGACGAGGTAGGGATTTGAACTTTGCTCCAACGAAACGGAACTCTTCCTCTCCTGGTCTATGAAATTGCACTTCTTTTTCATGACATCGAATGGTTACATGATTAAGTCCTAACCAATCCATGCCTAAAATAACATCGAAATCTTTCATTTCCAAGAGGTATAAGTCTGCTTCCAATATTTTTCCATCAATCTCTAACTTTATAGATTTTGTCATCTGGTTTGTGCAAAGAGTTTTTCCTGACGGGATGCTAACCTCTAATTCATTATCCATTCTAGCACATGCAAAGTTGGACCTAGCGACGAAGGATGCAGATATAAAAGAATTGGTAGCCCCAGAATCAAAAAGTACATAAACAGGCACATTGGATATTAACAGAATACCTGTTTTTGTAATCATAGTGTTAGACTGGCAACCAAAGGACAGAAACAAACAATTTTTAGTCCTAGGTAAAAAGAACATAAGCAGGAATGTAAAAAATAAATTAATTAATAAATACCTGCTATCACATTCGGATCTAGCTCCGCCTCATGCTGATTCAGTGCAAAAACTCAGGCCTTTCCTTTCTTGTTTTGGTCTTGATCATCATCCTTCTTCTTTGGAGGCTCTGGACAATTGAGAACGATGTGTCTAGGCTTACCACACCTAAAGCACACGTTCTTCCCGAGCAAGCATTCACCCTTGTGGAGTTTATTACACATAGAACAGGGTGTAATACTTCCACTCGTCCCACTAATGCGAATCCCTGTGCTTGGCCTTTTATTCTACCAGTTGCGTCTGTTTTTGCTTTGATCAGTCCACTTCCTTTTTCCAAACGACTCTTTGCTCTACTGGGCATACTGTTCAAATGAGGTCCTCTGATATGAAATAGCGTGAGCCCTTTCCAACATTTCACGATATGAGGTGAAACGATGGGACATAATGATCATGCCAATCTCAGGGCGCAGTCCATTCTCGAACCTCCTAATCTTCTTAACTTCTATATCCACCAAGTGAGGGACATACCTTGAGAGTTGCTCAAATTGCCTTTCTAATCAGTAAGTGACATGTTCCCCTGTCTGAGCTGTAGAAATTCTGATTCCTTGAAGTCCCTCAAAGCCTGTGGGAAATATTTTGCCATCACTTCGTCTTTAAACTGCTCCCAAGTCAGATTATGTTGCTGCTCTTCCGTCCTTGTACGTGAAACAGATTCCCACCAGTGACCAGCTGCTCCAATCAACATAAATTCTGCACATAACACTTTCTGTGCATCCATACAAGCAATGTGTCGAAATATGCGCTCCAGACCTCTTATCCACTCTTCGACAACCAGTGGTTCAGAATTACCGTCGAAAGTGGAAGGCTTGTATCTACGAAACTGCTCAACCACTGAGACAGCTCCAGGGGCAAAATGCAGTGCATTCTGCTGTGGCGGTGCATTTTGTGGTGGAGGTGCTTGATTTTGCCTGCTCAATTCTTGTACCGCTCGTAGTAAATCGTGCATCAAATTCGTATGAGTAGGTGGTGCCATTTCCTAAAATTTAATATGAAGTTACGATCACATTTCAGCACTAAGTCTATCACGTTATACTTGTTTTTATCATAGTACATATTATCAATTTAGTGGAGAAACAAATTGCATGTCTTAAAAATATAGAAGTAGGCAATTTAAAATATATAAGTTATGCAAAACACCCAAGTGTATTCATGTTCTTACCCTTTTTACATACCTTAGAGTCGTCGGATGGTGGTCGATTGGTGGTCGTTGAGTGCCAAAGACCATTCATATATTTAATAATTTTAAATTGTCATTATTGTTAAATTCATAAATCTTCAGAAAATGTTAACCTTTAACAAATACTACGCACGGAAACAAATAAACATTTTATTACACCTAATATTTAAAACGTATAAAATCCAGTGTTTATATATATATACACTAGTGCATGGACTATTATAAAATTTCACACATTTGAAAAAAAAAAAAATCTAGTAACAAAGTAATTTAGTGATTATTGTGGCTAAACATAAAATTTATTCTAAGAAATGGTATTTCTAATAAGTATATAAATATATACACACATAAACTATTTAAACAATCACACTTTTTTTTAATTTAATTTAAACTGTTCACGAGAACAGTGTCACTGTTCATACCGTGAACAGTGACCTGTCACTGTTCACGTCTTTTTTTTTTTTTTTAAACCACATTATGAAAATACACGTGAGTTTACAGAAAATTAAACCTACGCTCTGATACCAAGCTGTAACGACCCATTATTATTTATTTATTTTTTTAAAAAAGGTTTTGAATCGCTACCAAAATATATATATATATATATATATATATATATATATATATATATATATATATATATATTATACATGGATTTATGTTAGTATTATCCTTTAATTAAAGTATAATTATCATGCAATGCCCAGAATGTACGTAATTCAACTTTAGAACTAAATTTCTCCACAAAAACCATGCAGTACATGAAAACTACCATACACAAATTAATTGATAAAAGGAACAATTATCAATTTCTATCAAATTTTCAGAAGTAACGAATTGATGAGAAATTCTTCTAAAATCAACTTACATTTCCAGTAACTCATTTCCAACATATATTTAATAATTTTAAATTGTCATTATTGTTAAATTCATAAATCTTCAGAAAATGTTAACCTTTAACAAATACTACGCACGGAAACAAATAAACATTTTATTACACCTAATATTTAAAACGTATAAAATCCAGTGTTTATATATATATACACTAGTGCATGGACTATTATAAAATTTCACACATTTGAAAAAAAAAAAAATCTAGTAACAAAGTAATTTAGTGATTATTGTGGCTAAACATAAAATTTATTCTAAGAAATGGTATTTCTAATAAGTATATAAATATATACACACATAAACTATTTAAACAATCACACTTTTTTTTAATTTAATTTAAACTGTTCACGAGAACAGTGTCACTGTTCATACCGTGAACAGTGACCTGTCACTGTTCACGTCTTTTTTTTTTTTTTTAAACCACATTATGAAAATACACGTGAGTTTACAGAAAATTAAACCTACGCTCTGATACCAAGCTGTAACGACCCAATTTTATTTATTTATTTTTTTAAAAAAGGTTTTGAATCGCTACCAAAATATATATATATATATATATATATATAAACAATTATCAATTTCTATCAAATTTTCATAAGTAACGAACTGATGAGAAATTCTTCTAAAATCAACTTACTTTTCCAGTGACTCAGTTCCCTTGTCACTTTTCTAAAGAGATCTTAATACATGCATCTTATTCTACATAATTAAAATAAAATTTTTGTGCCACTAATGTAAAATAACACTTAAAGAAAAATCAAACAATTTAAATATGCGCAAATATTACTAACCAAAAAACAATTTAAATATGCGCACATATTATTAACCAATTTCTATACCCTTGTTAAGATAAGGAAATAAGCATAATAGTTCATTTTCTTTTCCTCCAGTGAGTAGAACATGGCATTAAACTTCCCTAATTTAATAACATTATAATGAATTTCATTAATTAAGTATGCATGAAACTATCAAACAATCACCCGTCTTTAAAATTTTCAAAATTGACGTATAAGACACCCAAGGGAGACAAATGAAGGTGTGGCATGGCAGGGAGATCATTGTCTTGACCCTAGGTTTCCATCAATTCGGGGAAAATCATAGAAAAGTACAAACATAGCATGCAATATTTTATTTATATATGAACTTATACCTATGCAGTAATCAATGTAATTTCTTTCCCTTTTCTGTTCCATCGTATAGAGACACGAGGCATAACATATCACTAGAAATTAAATGATTCACATGCAATATATTTTCGCTTCCTTCCGCGTGTAGTGCATGCCCTCGAAAGTCAGAATATAAGTAATTTAACATCATCTTTGACATAAACTAAATAGTAATACATGTCCAGCTACTTTCTAACGACTAAATCGGTAAAAAAAAAAACCTTTAATTCAAAATTTATTTAAAATGCAGATTACATATACTCATCTGTAGTATGCATGGAACTGTCAAACAATCACCCGTCTTTAAAATATCCAAAATTGACGTATAGGACACCCAAGGGAGACAAATGAATGTGTGGAGTGGCAGGGGCATCATTGTCTTGACCCTAGGTTTCCATCAATTCGGGGAAAATCATAGAAAAGTACAAATATAGCATGCAATATTTTATTTATATATGCACTTATACCTATGCAATAATCAGTGTAATTTCTTTCCCTTTTCTCTTCCATCATACAGAGACACAAGACATAACATATCACCAGAAATTAAATGATTCACATGCAATATATTTTCGCTTCCTTCCGCGTGTAGTGCATGCCCTCGAAAGTCAGAATATAAGTAATTTAACATCATCTTTGACATAAACTAAATAGTAATACATGTCCAGCTACTTTCTAACGACTAATTCGGTAAAAAAAAAAACCTTTAATTCAAAATTTATTTAAAATGCAGATTACATATACTCATCTGTAATTAAGCATGTACGAAAATTTTAATTTTTGAAAGATAAAACAAGAATCACATTCCCTTCTTTCCTTCTTTTTTTATTTCTGCCTCTACTATCACTGTGAGCAATGCACGTATATTTTTGTGTGTCTATTTCGTGTGGTGCATTCCATATACATAGACAGTTGCACCCTAAAATTCTGAAGTCTGTGTATTATGTAAGAAACGTGTAAAGGTGGGATATGGTTATGGATAATATAGGGAAATAGATATTTTGAATTAAATATATTTAACTAAATCTTGTCACCCAAAAGCCATGCATTACCGTACACGTGGAGCATCCCTAAATTCAAAGTTCTAGTAAGATAACAACAATAGATAAAGTTCTCAACCACCACTCACATCCTCCCATATCCTTCTCTCTCTCTCTCCATTTTTTTATTATAAAATTATTATTTAATCAATTACAACCTATCAAAAGCCACTCTCTTTTCACGTGTCTCCCTCATTAAGTCTTTAATTCATTAAACAACACATTTAAAATATAATTTATAGCTACATCTTTCGACCTCAATAACTTAGTTTTCGCTAATCCAAATTAACTTTTTCTCGAACCTAAAATGCACGATTAAATACGAGCTTTCCAACGGGCCCAATATTTATATACTTATTGTCACTCCGTCAATATCTACATTTTAGCCTAAATTATATTAAAATTTACTTTATATACACTTTAGTCCCTAAACTTTCAAAATATTAAATTATAACATACATAATTTAAATTCTATTGTACGAAATGTCGGAATATTACACATCTCCTCCATTCCCTTCAGATCGGTGGCTAGCACAAACAAAGATCTGTCTTTTCTCCTTCTATCTGGTGATAATGGGTCACAAAGGAGGGGTGAGCTGTGGTCGAAATCTCACCAGCTTGAATATCAGAAAAATTCAAAATTGTTGAGTTCAATTAGCGCATTGGATATCACTGTATTAAGAAATTTACAATCAATAGTACTAGAAAAATATTACCGCTGATTGAGGTAATTGTAGTCTTGTTACAAATCTAACAGTACACTTAAATATCATATCCCGTCTAAATTCATTTCTCCTCCTACAATACACTCTTCGGTTGGTTTAAAAAAGTACAAAGACTAAGATCATCTCAATCTACTATGATATTATTATTCTAATATTATTCAATTTAATTTTATACTTAGCTTTGGTATGTGTGTGTGTGTGTATATATATAATCAATATATATATATATATATATATATATTTAATTTTATACTTAGCTTTGGTGTGTGTGTGTGTGTGTGTGTGTGTATATATATATATAT